GTTGCCATTTTTAGAAAATCTCATACCACATATTTTGCACACATAGGGTTCGTCAATTACAGGTGGCTTAACATACTTCACAAATGGATACCTTTTACATTTCTTTAATGAATCTCCATCTGTGCCAGATATACAAAAGTTATGTGCTTTGTCTCTGTTTCCTTCTGGTAAATCATCCTCTTCTTTAATAAACCATTCACAGTCTGGTTCTATGTGTAGGCCACTTTTCTCCTCACACTGTAAGGGATCTTCTTCCTTAATGACTGTGTTATCTGTCATTCTGCTTGTACGATATTGAACTCTTCCCTTCTAAAGCAGAGGGAAGGTCTTTCTGGTAAATCATCTATACTGCATCTGAAATGAAAAACAGTACTAGGTATTATCACTAATATATGTTGTAACAGTTTTTCACGATCCCGTTTGTGAAAAAGAATATATTACGATAAAACCACTAAAGTATTTAAGTCATCTCAACTAATAATAAGGGTATTAAGTATTATCACTAGTACAAATGATAATTCTTGTTCAGTCACAATAATCAGATAATACACTTTATTAGAGAAAAGTCACTAAACTATTTAACAACTTGATAGTTCTTACAAGTGATAATAATACCAAAACAGTTTTTACTTGATAGTAGTATATCTTACCCTCCTCAAAACAACAGGGACTTCCTCTCATGACAAAATCTGTGGAATTAAGAATGTTATAATTAACATTACTATCTCCATTAAGAGCACTACTATTACTATTTTCATAATAACTGTAATAATAATTATTATTTTCATTATTATTACTATTATCATTATAATCATCATTATCATTATTATAATTATTATCATGATCATGATCAAGATCATGATCATTGATACTATCATCATCATTATTATTATCATCATTATCATTATTTTCATAATCATTTTTAGTATCATTTTTATCACTGTTGCCTTTATTATTTTTGAAAATATTTTATCAGGCCTCTTCAAATCTTTGTTATTGGCAAAATAAACTATATTAAGATTGCAAGAACATTAGGTTTAAAAAAAAAAATAATAATAAAAAATAAATAAATAAATCAATACATTTAAAAAGAGGTCAGCTCAATAGGTAATGTGTCAAAAAGATAATATGTGACTATATATCATGTTGCCTAGCCTATCCAATTCAAAAGATGAACTTTAATACTCTTGTTTTATCACAGATCTGGGTGCCTTTGGCCTCAGACGTGGACCAAAATTTGGGCATTAGGCTTGCTTGACTGGCCCGTTTCCCAGGTGTGTGGGTTGTAGGTTTCAGCCCATAGGAACATTTGCATGTGATAAGAAAACTCCTTGCCTCCTCTTTATGATGCTATTGGTCCCTTTTTTGTACATGCGTATGCTGTTTTGCAATTTTCTGAGGTTTATTTTTGTCAATTGTTATTTGTCAAGATGGTAATAGACCATTTTTGTTGAGAAGATTCCATATTATCTCTCCAAGGAATATACACTTTGTGCAATATATCAGTAAATCTGTATTTGTGTTTTTTTTTTTCTTTTCTTTCTTTTTCTTCTCTTTGTATCTGCAAATTTTCTGAATCCAAAATTTTCTTTCTGCTAAACCAAAAAACAGAAATACTTTTCCTTGATCATACTTCATATAAGTAATACACATTCTGTATATTATGCTTAACAACATGCTATTGAA